TTATATCATATGTACATGTCTTACTAAACACCAGATGACGTGTTTTTCCTGTGTGCTACTTTCTGTTTTGTATCACTTGAACCCACCCAGTGTGTTATTGTTGTGATGAAGAGAACGAGCCCGCACAGAGCCGACCAATGAGGGCGAGGGACACCGTCGACTGACATCAGATCCGGCCAATGGGGTCGCTGGGGGAGTTGTGTTTATACCCGCCCCCTTCCCCGTACAAGGCGACTGTTTTGGTGAGTTGAGGAAAGTTCATTGAAATCGTTTGTGGCTTTAAAAGCGTTGGATTTGACGCGTGTTCGCTCCGGACGAGAGATCCGCGTGTAAACTCGACACAGGAACAGGGAGCTGAAGCTGTCAACCTGTGGTTTCGGTCGTAAACTCGTCTTCGCCCCTCGTCGCGCAGCTTCATTGTTGTTAGCTGCTGGTTCTGAGCTAACTGGCTCTACGCGACAAGATGGCTCGTCTGTTCCCAAAGCGTTTGATCCCGTTTCCACGCTCGCGACCTCAGACGCGTCTGTAACTCTTCTGTCGCAACACATCCAACTCAGGTCTGTACTGGCTGTCGTCGAGGAAACGTCAGTTTTCAGCAGCGCTTTATGTTTCGCGACGACAAACGCAACTTAGCTTTGATTTGAACTTTGACAAAGTGTAGAACCCACCACTGGTTGTCAGTGTGTAGTGTCCCAGAGGACATTTTGTCCCGTGTGCTTCATGGGATGTGCTTTACTCGTTGTCCATCCACTGACTTCACACGTATCGCTGCTGCCTGTCTGTACTGAATGAATGAGCTTCTTCTGCGCATGCGCCGGGGATCTGAAAGTTTATAAACAAGAGGGAGTCACATGACGACACATTGTGAAATCGATCAACACGCTGTCATCGTGTTTACACCTTTTCAAACCGACTACTTCACGGTGACGTTTACCCACAGTTCATATCGGATGAACGCATTGAGCTGATGAACGCAAAGGGTCTTTGTGAATGTGTCTAAACTTAGATGGCAGCCCGCCCACAGCGACCCCTGTGTCCCCCCATCACCCCAACCATATACAGCTCTCCCAGGATCATGTTCCCCCTCCTGTGTGTGTGTGGAAACTATGTACGATGACTGTAATGTAATCACTAATGTGTAGATTCACCTTCCCAGCAGGTCGAGTGCTGTAAAGTATTCAAATCTAGCAGTGTAGTGAATGATCCAGCTGTCTGCAGGTTTCAGTGACATCATGGTGTGGGAGGTGGTGACCCCAGCTGTGCTGAGCGACCCCAAAGACCAGAAGGTCCAGGAGCTTGAGCTTCAGGCTGAACACACAGGTACAACATCTGTACTGCATCAGTCATGACGCCAATCTATTAATGAGGGACTTCAGTGAGTTCGAGTTGCACTTTTATAAAGTTTGGTGACTCACAAGACGCAGATGAAAACAAGAGAATGATTCAGCTGAGGTATTCAGACCCAACCACAGTATGAGGTGGGATCCTACACTTCTCAGCAGCATGTTTTGATAGACCCTCCCTGGCTGCATCTGGGCCTGTCTCTTCAACAGACTTTCACGGTCATAACACAGATTTGTTATGATACATAATTAGTTCTTCTATTGAGTCTGTGTAATATTACTTTTCCTAAATATAATACTAAAACTTTGCTATTCTAGTCTAAATCAAAATTTGTATTTAAATGTTACAGTTAAAAAACAAATCTAACCTGTAAAAGTCTCAGATCATATGAACTCCTGTTTCTCTCTTCTCACTTTCAGTAGTGATGACGGATGTAGATGGAGACCAGTCACATGACCTGCTCCGCTGTGACGAACACTTCCCCTCCTCCCCTGGCTGCCCCACCAGTGACAGCTACATGGAATATGGTACATAACACTGCAGCAAACACTAGAAATAACATTAAGATCAATATGGGCTCATGTGTCTTTGATTTCTGAAATAGTAAGTGAAGCAAACTCTTCATTGGGTGCTTTCTGTCGCCAGATGACCTTCCAGATTTACAGGAGGTTCGGGAGGAGGAGGAGCCGACAGCGCCACCTGTTTACCAGGTGGAGGTGGGTGTGTCCCACCAGCAGGTGCATGCATACGCAGCGACACACAGCCCTCAGCCTCCTGACACACGCTGGCTCACGCAGCTGGCTCACATCGCCACCGGGCCTCAGAGCCCTCTGCTGCAGGAGTCTCCTCACAGCAGGTATGTGCACTTTGTACACCTTGTTCTAAAGTTTGAGTTCTAGGGATAAAAAGTATGAATGTCACATCACACCTTGAAAATAACTTTCATTTATCAGCCTTTATTTTTGATTTAAACACATTTGGTTTGTTTTATTTTTGTTTACTTCTAAATATTCCTGATAAGACTATTTTTGCCATTTTTACCATATTTTCTCTTTGTCTTACCATTAAATACTTGTATCACGTCTTCCCATCCACATTCCAGATCTTAAAGAACTAAAATAGCTCAGCTTTAGCCAGAACAACTGGGGTCAAGAGTCCAAACTTCCACCGTGCAACCCCAGACTCCTACAAAAAAAAAAACAATGAAAAAAAGATTGCCAATTTATCCTTTTCTACAATTTGTTAATGAATTCAAGACTTAAAAGATGCCTCATGTAAATATGTAGATTTATAATCCTGGTGATGATGTCACAGAAACCCCTCATACTCCAATAGGATATTAAATTAAAGAAGCAACATGAGCATTAAGGATTATTAATATACAAGCTCCTTAACTTCTTAATAACTGACTGTCTTAATCTGACACTTTGCAATGACCCTGTACTTCAGGTGAATTTCTGATCTTCCAATTCACCGGTCTGTGTCGTTTTCAGCTCCTCTCTGGTCTGCATCTCTAGGATCAGCAGTGATCTACATTCCTACGCACGGCCTCCTCCACCTCCTCTCCCCAGCAGCTCCCTGTCGCCCCCTCGAGGTCATGGGAGGGAGCGTCGACACAGCAGGGTAGAGCTAATGTTTGCCTGCTTCCGTTTGTTTGTTTGTTTCATCACTGGCACTTAACACAATATCTCTGGAACACCACAGCTTCCACCTATAATTATTTTTTAGTTTTAAACACATGGTTCTGTGTGGCTCGGAGGCCGTTGTGTGTTGACAATGCTTCCGTCCTGTTTCCACAGACGAGCAGTGAATGTGGCTCTGCTGTGTCAACCAGATCCTCTCTCTCTGATGATGAAGACATGGGCTGGAGCTTCTCCTGGCCCCCCACTGCCTGGCACTGTTTTCTCAAAGGTACACACACACTCAAATACACACTCAAATACACACTCAAATACACATGCATACACTGGAAAAAATATGTACAAGAACACCTCTGTTTGGTTTGATATCGTCTGTGTCATATACTGAATGGGTGACTGCTCTTTTCTGCCATCAGGCACTCATCTGCGTTTCCACAGTGGCTGTAACGTGGAGTGGCAGGAAGTGGAGGAGTTGGATTCTGCTGAGGAAGACTCTTACAATGAGGAGCAGTCCAGATCTCTGAAGGTACATGATGCAACAAGTCGTTTAAGTCTCACATATACAGTATAACTACAGAAATGCATCACAAACGTTCTATGCTCCCTCTTTCAGAGTTACGGCTCTGAGGGTCTGCAGCTGGTGGAGCGCTCAGAGACCGTGTTGTCTGGTCACGCTGTCCTACAGCTGACCTTTGACCCCGGTGCATTTGGACACGTCCCTATGACCGCCAGGTGCCAACTCGACCACCCCTTCTATGTGAAAAACAAAGGTAGGAGCGATGCTGTTGAAACACTAAATCTGACTGTTCAGCTTCGCTAAAATGTCTTCTTTACACATTGTCTGTCCTTCTGTCCATCAGGATGGTCATCCTTCTACCCAAGCTTGACTGTGGTGCATTATGGGATACCATGCTATGAAATGGAGATAGGAGACATTTGCCTGCCTCCAGGACACAGAGACGCCAAACACACGGACGACTCGCTGGTCTTTGATGCCTTTAGGAGGTAAAATACACTTTTTACTGAAAATGATTCAGTATTGTTTGCTTTTCATAAAACCCAAAAATCACCAAAAAGATAATTGTGTGTTTAAACACATGTGTTTGTGTGTGGCTCTTTCTCAGTCACGATTTCACTCCTCTGGACTCCTCTGCCGTTTACGTGTTGAGCAGCATGGCCAGACGGCGACGTGCCTCCCAGTCCAGCGGAGGAGCTGCTTCTCCGGACAGAGACGCGCTACATGGTAGAGGTACTGTGTGATTAAGCAGAGACATTAAGAGCATGCACTGTGATACACAAATAGTAAGATATAAAAACACCGGAGCACGGTTGAGGATACAGTTCATGAGAAAAGAAAAGAGAATGTAGTAAGTGGTGATTGCTTAAGGGATTTTAAAAGGATCTTACGTGAATCTGTTTGAATCCCACAGACACCCACAGTCCCAGCAACTCCCGCTCTCCTCATCAAAAGCCAACCAGGGGCCATTCTGCCGGAGCACAGGGAGGAAGTAGTGCCCCGGCTGTTAAGTGCAAGCGGCCAATGAACGCCTTCATGCTGTTCGCCAAGAAGTTCAGGGTGGAGTACACGCAGATGTACCCGGGCAAGGACAACAGGTAGGGCGTGCGCTGTGATGTGTGTCGCGAAGCCGCAAGGGGGATTCATGTGTGTTCAATGTTAATGTGTGTGTGTGTGGTAGAGCGATCAGCGTCCTGCTCGGCGAGCACTGGAAGAAAATGCGAAGTGAGGAGCGGCGGGCGTTCACCCTACAGGCCAAAGCCCTCGCAGACGAACAGAAAAGACTCAACCCAGACTGCTGGAAACGCAAACGAACCAACTCTGTAAGGACACACACACACACACACACACATACACACACACACACACAGTTTGTTTTGTGCTACCTTTTAATTCAATTCCTCCTCTTTGCCTAACAGGGTTGTCAGGGAAATTAAGGCTTCGGGGATGAAAAGAGGACACACACACACACACGCATATTACACAGCGACGAAGAAGAGAAAACCGCGCTGAACCTAATACTTTGCTTTGATATTAGATTTGATTAACAACAGACTGGCCTTGATCTCCCAAAGCGAGGATTTGCTTCTGCTTTTCAAAGCACAAACCTCGTCTCAGTCAAAACGAGCAGCAGCGTCTGCTTTCAGAAATTGTCACTCTCCTCTCACTTGCTTTTAGATTGCGCTGATTGTTGAGAGGAAAACATTTTTATATGGTGAATTCAACAAAGTGTCACATTTCCAAACCAGATGAAGATCAGCAGGGTTCTGGCTACGACAGAAATGTGACCGTTATATTAAATCAAATAAGTCTGGTGATTTTCAGTCTGTCATATGCTTGGGTGGGCGTTGTGGTGCTGTAGCATTTTAGTCGAAAATGTAGCTATTTTCCCCAAATTATACTTTATATACAAAGAAATATACAAAATATTTGCTTGCATTTTTTACTTGTATTTGCACTTGGTGTAATTTTACCAAAGTTAACATTTTAACTTTGTTTTCATGTAATTCATCCTGGAAAATGTAATTATTAAATTAGAATGACTCTCGTACCTCCTCCAAGGACAAAATCCTGCACCAAATCTGTTATGTTTGTTGGGACATGGTTCTCAAACTATTGAAGAGCTGAAACAACTACTACACCCTATGAAACCACATTTGAATCCTGTAGGTTCAGATTTTTCATTGGATCTGATCCAAATTTAACAAACTCAGACATATCAGTCAGAGTCCCTTTGTCCAGATCTGCAAAAAAATTGAATTGACTTCCACCAAATTGGACAAATGGACTTTGGCAGTCCACATAACCTCCTTGGCAAAGGTAGCAGGAGTACATCACAAATCCTCAACAGGCTGTATTTACCTCAACTAAACAAATAATCAAGCCTTAAAATACAGACAGTTTAATCAGTGTAAATGTTTTTGTCAAATGAATCTCCATCTAGACCTGATCTGTTTTTAGTTTTTAACATTGAAAACATTTCACAATTCAGAATGCCTTTACTTCCTTTAGAAGGCTTTTATTTTGAAAAAGGAGTTTCCTATGCAGTGTAATGAGAGAATGATTATGCTAATCCACAATCCCCATTATAGTACAGGTTTCATTAACATCATTAATAACCTCCGTTTGGTTGTTATTTGTAGGATTTGCAATAATTAACAAAGTAAATACCTTAACAGGAGAGTAAATTGCTGTTAGATCTGCATACAGGAACTGCTGAGACCCTGGATCCTCAGCAGCTGTATGTTACTGCTTTTGATTTTGACATCCCATTGTGCCATAATAACATGTTTTCACTGTGTTCTGCCAAAGTGTCTTTGTGTATAATCAAACACATAAATGCAGGAGAGGGTTCATGTTACTCACAGATTTATAAAAAGCTTGTTTAGGAAAATATTTTCTACCATAGTCAGACTGGGATCATTTTTTCTCCAGAAAAACAACTTTGACTTCAGTGTAAAAATAGATCATTTCAAATTTATCTAAGCTGTTGTGGTCACAAAAATATTTTGGGGGGAACAGGCTCACCATAAAAGTGTTCTGCATTTGTCATATTTAAAAAGAAACCTTTTTTTTGTGTATTTTAATCGGAGTGTTTGGATTTTTTGGGGTTAGAAACGCAACAGACAGGATTCTCTTCCCTGGGCTCAGCAATCTCACTCTCTTTTGTTAAACGATGGAGGGGAGTGTTGCTCTCAGAGCCCAGAGGAGTTACGATACAAAGAGTTTCAAAAAGACACAGTTGAGGAGCTGTTGCAATAATTAAAGATAATACGACGAGGAAACCCAGGGCCCTCAAGGACTACCTGGATATTGAAAACTAAGACCCAGGACTAAGAAAGCTAAAACATGTACAATGTTCCCTTTAATAAAAACCCAGCATTGTTAAAGGGATAATACATGCTCCTCAAATACTGAGTCGATACTCTCAAACCTGGTGTGAGGCTTTAGGAACATGGTGTGACTGTGTGAATCTCTGTGTGCTGACCTTCATGTGTGAAGGCAGGAATCTGCTTCAATCATAGACTCTATATAAAGATGGACGACATAATGGCTCCCCAAAAGTGAAAACCAAAGCGTCTAGATTGCCCCCTGGTGGCTGGCTGCAGTATGTCATAAGCCATGCCTCCGCCATGTTAGTGGATGGGACATGAGACAAACTAAAAAGTCAAGGCAGTTTCTGTCACTGATGTGCGTTGTTTTCATCACTTAATTGATGCTATGAAAACAAGGTGAAACTGGTTTAGAAAGACGTCAGAAGCACAAAGTGGCAGCACCCGTAGCCCAGATGTTTGACGTCCATCTTTTTTAACAGTGTCTGATTTCAATGCTTGAAATTTTTACAGAAAAAAAAAAAAGAAATGAAAATATTTCCAGAATATTTCCAGCGCTCACACTCTCACTGCATAACGAGGTTTATTCTTAATGCACTATATACACTTTATCTTATGTGACTGCAACAGTATCACGTGTAATGACAAATATTAATATGACTATATACAGAAATATATATATTTTTTGGTTCTGACTTAATCTTTGTTACGCTTTCATGGTTGTGCATTGATTATTTGACTTTTGTATGTCGTTGCGATCATGTCGTGTACAGGTCCATCAGGGGAGACAATGCAATATATTGTATGATAGTATAAATAAAAGCATGAGAAACCTATTTCCTTTTTTTGTCCTGCCTGTCTTTTCTTGTTTCAACATTTTTTTTCGCCTACCAGAAAAAGAAGTTTAAAACAAACACAGCTTGAAACAAATCTTTAATTGTGCTGCTTCAGCCTGTTGCTATATACAAACTGCACCAGTATATATCTGGAGATAAAGGTATAGACATTAAGCTGCTATGTAATCATAAAGATAATAAAAAGAGACAACATTCCATTAAAACTATAAACATGATCAATATTTCCAGGCTAAAATTATCAAATAGAATCCACACAGTTATTTATATATATGTGTAAATGGCTAGAAAATCACCTTTTATAGTAAAATAGAAAATATATAGAGGTACAATATAAACATACAGGAATTTGGCCTTTCAATGTGTTCAGGGATATTTACAGAGAAACAGTTGGATCTGCTTTGAGTCACTCCCAGGCTTCGCCGCAGTTGGGTCCGTGCGATTTAGCATCCCGAGGTGATGAGGGACGAAAAACGGGCGCAGATTGAGGCTGCAGCGAGGTTTGAGAGCGACTCAGAGCTCGATTGATTCAGTCGGACGCAACGGCAACATTTGGACTTTACTCAAAAAAATGGAAACAGTCATAAGAAGTGGCACAGGGACGCAGAGGGAGTCACAGCTTTGAGTTTTCAGCCCCCTCAGCTCATTGTCTGAAATCGGAGTATTTGCAACAACACAGAAGATAAATGGTGTCATGATTTTCCTCTGGCTGATTCCACCCATTGATTATTCTGCAACAAGACTCATCTGAGAGGTCGTGATATTTTCTGCTCACCATCAAAACATCAGGATCCAGATTCATTTAGATTTAAACCGACCACAGCTTCAGCCGTGTTTGATGGAATATCACTTTAATACCTCCTCTCCGACCTTTACAACACTGACACTGATCCCCTTTAAGAAAATAGATACAGACCTCACATCAGTCTCATTATTTTGGCATATTATTCCCACAGTTGTATCAAAACAGGTTTTTAAGTACAATAGCATGAGTTACAAAAAGGCACCAGAGACCATGTGGCAGTGGCAACGAGACAGAAGCAGAATTCAACAGCAGTAAACACCAGCGGTCATTTCACTGTCACCAGTGAGGCCTTAAAGGTTTTGGTTATTGAAACATTACTATAAATTCTGTCGATTATTGTGCAGGGAATCAACTATTTATCAGGAATTATCATCGATCATATGGTTCTTTATACTGATTGGACTTTGTATTTTTATTAGTGTTAATTTCAACAATTTAAAGGAAAGACGAAAACTAAAAAATAACAAAGGAGAAACAATAGATGAGAAACTACAAATAAAAGAAATCCATGTTAAAGAAAGATTCAGATGAGGGAAGTTTAAGAATTTTAAAGACAGGTCCTTACTGTGATAAAAAAAATCTATAATTCTATAAATTTGAATTTCGGTTTCACTTTTTCAAAAATACGTATTTACTCTATATTTACTTTGTGTTTTTAACAGACTTTTGGCCTTTTCTCAGAAAGTACTGAACCTCTGCTGCTGCTTCACACTGAGCAGTCGCAGTTTTTTCGCTGGAAAGGCAGTGAAGCTTTTTTGGTTCCACACTTCAACATGGGATTGTTCCACTTTGTTTAATACGCCATCACAATTTTAATAATAAATGTGCATAAATCATAAACTCTGCTTGTTTTATTAAGATGTTGCTTCATGTGTTCTGGTCCAGATAATCTGCAGCCCTTTTTTTTTTATGTAGGAGTGGTCATGCTCTAGTCAGGTTTATTTACTCATCTATAAAACATTAGAACAGGATCTAGTAACCCTATGTAATGCCATTAGTTAACTTGGAAACCCCTTGTAAAGATTGCTGCTACGGCGATGTGGCGGTTAACACCAGAAATGTGTCTCTAGTAGATTCTGTAGTGTGAGACCCCGTTCAGACCTGGTATTAACATGCGTCCTGACCGATCCCATCACAAGTGGTCAGTTCAGGTGTGAAGGCACCCAAGTGTGTCCTCAATGTGTCCGGATCCGATCCTTGAAACCACATCCAGAGCTGGTCTGGTATCCAGAGGTGGTCTGGTATCCAGAGGTGGTCTGGTATCCAGAGGTGGTCTGGTATCCAGAGGTGGTCTTTTCCACTGTGTGAATGTAAATACATCCTGGGCCACCAGCTGACATCCTCTCCCCTCCTCAAGTTTCACAATCAATCAATTTTTATTTCACATTTATTCTTCTCAATGATCATATGTTGGTTTGTTTGTAGCCAACACCACAATACCAACACTGATCAACACATCATGGTTCATAACTTTTTTGGTCACATTTTTCTTCGCAGCTGCATGAATTCATTCATTCGTTCCGTCACACATTCATTCACTCAGTCAGTCCCTCCCGACTTCCCCTGCACCGACTCATCAGGACACATGTTAGTACCAGGTGTGGACAGAGGAATTTAATACTGTCCGGTTGTGATGGGACCGCTCAGGACAGATGTTGGTACCAGCTGTGGACAGGGTCTCACAGCAACATATGGAAATCCAAGTCATGATCTGTGTAAACTCACTATATGGTGAACCTGGTACTGCGATGATTCTGTTTCCACAGTTACCTGCAGTGTTTTAGATGACTTAAGGCTTTACTGGATTAAACTGGATCGTTAGGTTCTATTTTTATATTTTTAATCACCATCTCTGGTTACAGAACATACTGTGCAGTCAAGCATCAGCATGGACCACCGACACAAGCCAAACCTCAGTCACCACATCACTGGAGTGTGCGTTTTTGTGTGTGTGTGTGTGTGTGTGTCTCTACATGAGTGACTCCAAGCTCTCTGCGATGTTGGTCTGTCCCAGTGGTACAGATCCGTTGGTCTCTGGACTCTGCAGGGCTCTCTGGTCCTCTTGGCTGCTCACCAGACTCAGCACAGCATGGTACAGATACTGGTACTGCTCCTGTGGTAGTAAACACACACACACCTGCTGAGATTGAACCTGCCACATACTTATATCAAAATACACATCATCAGCTACTTCTTACCGAGATGAGGAATTCTCCCAAACCCGAAAACAAGCAAATATGACTGAAAATAACTTCATTATTAAGTTTTTATCATTTTAAAGTTCATAAATAAGGTGTGTGTGTGTGTGTGTGTGTGTGTGTGTACAATTGTACTTATAGGACTTGGATGACCATTTTGAGCATTGAGCTAGGGAATGTGTGTGTGTGTGTGTGGGTCAGCACTTACTACATCATTAAATACCCCAGGCCTCATCAGATTGGTCATCCGTGCCACCTGGTAGACGTCTACAGCTCCCTCCTCCTCCAGCTGACTGGACAGGGTGGTGAGAGCACAGAACAGCCCTGATGTAGCACCTCCCAACCTGTACACACACACACACACACACACACACA